TTGAAGAAAATATATACATGTCATGATGGGTTTTAAGGATCTGACCCACATGCAGAGACCCACTCAGAAGCCAAGGGTAAAAGTTAGTAGGTTTATTGTGGATTGCAAAAAACACAGATTGAGAGATATACAGCCGGGTAACACTGTTGGACCTCAGCTGACCGGTGAACCGGATACTGTTTAAGGGGCTCTTGGTTATTCTTTGGATCCAGTTTGTGGGGTTTTATCCAGAGATGAAAGAACTTGTTGGAGGGCGGACAGGCAGACTAACGTTGGATCCAGAGGAGCATTGGAGCGGACTGGCACCGGGTTTTCCTGAGGAGGACTTGAACGGATCATGTGGAGGTTCCCCCTTGCTCAGTGTGACTCAGTTAATCCTTCCAGGGGGGTAGAAGGTCCAGGCTTATCCAGTGAATCAGGAAGGTGAATCAGGAAGGCTTCTTGTCGGAGAACAAAAGAAAAAGGCAAGTTTAGACTCAGAGAGACAAGGCTAAGGTTAGACTCAGGGCACCGCCTGGTGGTGGAAAGAAGAAAACAAAAAACAACCCACACAAACTGGAATCCTAACAATACAATAGTGATAATAATGATTATGTTTTTGTTTTTTTTACATAGAAAAAAGTGATAGCTTATTTTTGTTGCCTTGCATTATTTGACATGCAGCTGGGTAGCTTGTGGATTGGATGCACAGCCTTCAACATCAACTGATTTGTGGTGGAAAAAAATCACATCAACTGAGGGCTGATATTCCTTTTATTTCTACATAGATCCTTTCAGTGTGTCTGTGTACTTTAGCAAGCAATGCACTATTTAACTTTTTGCAACATCTGTGGACTAACTAGCAGGCAAGCCTGATAGTTGATGAAGAGAATTCTGTGCTTCAGAACTAGGCTCAGTGAGAACAGCCTTGTGTTGAGGCCGACTAGGCTTCAAGGAGACAGAAGTAGACATATGTAAAGAAGTAGATATATAAAAGATAATTGTTAATGTTAGGGTTGGAGTTGGGGTCGGGTTTGGGGTCAGGGATTTAGGATGTTGAATCCCCTCGTATATTAAGTATATTAATAAAAAATCCTCCTCAGTATCTTATAAATTTTTAATAACATTACAAACATAAATATTGACTCAACAAACCCAACCATGTCTTTGTGTTGCCTTTAGTAATCTTTTTTGGTTCGATTTATTCACATTATTATATACTTTATTGCTCATCTATTTGAAATTAACTATACACTTGTTAACCGTTAACTGCGCTTTTTGCAGGTACCGGATCTAAAGCAAGAACAATGTCTTATTAAGGCTGACAAATCTTTTATTTTGCACTGTTATGCCTTTAATAACATATATATTGTTGTTGTGATTTATGAAAAATTTACTTTATTATGCCCTTATTACAAGTTAGTTATACACTTGTCAACAGCTAACTATGCTTTTTTCAGCTACCGGATCTAAAGTGAGAACAATGCCTTATTAAGTCTAATAAATCTTCTGTTGAGCATTGATTAATGGCTTATGATTTTCACAACTTCCACATCTGGAACGAACAATACAAGCAGGCAAAGGTGATGGAAAGAAAACAAAATTGCTTAACACAACAAATGTTTCAAACGGCAAAGCCCAAAAAGGTTTAGTAATACTAATTAATAGTCTTATAAACACATAGTAATGTTAATAAGCATCTAGTAGGTACTTATTAAGATCTTATTACCTATTAACTAATGCTTATTACAAGGACCTTAATATAAAGCATTACCGATCAGGGTAGTATAATTAACGGTTTGTCTGTTTCAGGTAGAGAAGCCAAATTAAACTCCTCTCAATCTGAAAAGCACAGTTTGGCTATAGTTCCTAAACTTCTGATTTGAACCTTGAAACCAAAAATATCTGCTGAAATCAACTTTATATTGTTAGTTTTCAGGTTAAAATGATTGCCTTTTAATCCCATTTTAAATGCCTTGTTTGTCACAAGTACAGAACAATGAAATTAACTCTGCATTTAGGCGATTCCTTTGGGGAGCAGTGGGCAGCCATTGAGTGGCAGCCTGGGAGCAGTGTGGTTGTTAAGGGTCCTGCTCAGGGAGCCAGACTGGCAGTCTGTGGGAGTGGGGCTTGCACTCAGAACCTCTGGATTCCCAGTGCAATGCCCTGAACACTAGGCCACCACTTCCAAGTTAAAAAGATGAACTTTTGTGTCTTCTGGATATCTGTCCAGAAAACATACCATGATTATGGTTCTTACTGACCCTGATTAAGAGACATTTATGGCCCTTTTCTGATGCTAACAGTTTTATTTTCTTGAACATACCCTACACATTTAGCAGATGTGGTATCAGTCAAGTCTTTTAGAATGCACAGTTTCTCATAAATGGTAATCTTAACCTCTCATTAGTGGGTGGCATTCCTTAAGAACAGCCAAACTTGAGCAGCATCTCTGCTATTGTAATTGGCATTCAGCAACTGAGTGACTGACTTAATGTAGGTGACAGGGCACACGAAAGTCTTTGCTAAACTGGAAACACTGATTTGCCCATTCCTTACTAAATATGGAGCTAGGTTTGGGCCTCATTATTGATGGCAGGTTAGTCTAATGAGAGCAGAGTCCATTCTCTAAGAGTCTGTTTCCATGGAGGTTTGAAACCACTGTATGCTGTATAGGGAAAAAAGACACATTTTCTTTCTGCAGAAAGTGTGCTTTCATCACAGTTTGCGTTTTTATGTCTGCAAGGGGAAAACATGTTCTGTCATGCATAAGCTCTTTTTGTCAGCTCACCCCCTTTTCTACCTCTGTGCTGTTACTTGATGGGGGATATATGT